ACTCCATGTAATCTCACCCTAATAAGGACGATCTCCGGGACCAGTGGTTCTCAATCAAAATGGATGTAAGTAAGTTGAGAATCTCTTTTTCGTTGCATGAGCAGACGATGCGCAGACACATAAGAAACTTGACGACACTGCAACATACCGCCACCAATCTTACTATATATATATATATGTACTCTGGCCGTTAGGGTTAGGTGCCATGAGGCGAGTATAGAGACTTTCTGCTTGTGTTTACATTTACAATCAGGTTATGTATACGACAACACAAATGCCGAATAAAGTAAGAAATTTAAAAAACGGTAGATTTGTGAAGAAAAAAGTAGCAATTTAAAACGCTAAAGCTTATCAAACTATAACAGTTTACTTGGGCAAATTTGAGTTGGGCTTTTTTTCGTGACCGTCGTCTGACTGTTCTGTACTCAGTAAGTAACAGGATGTTGCAGTGTTGTCAAGTTGCTAAGGGTGTCTGCTTCTCTCTCGGCGGAGGCCAGATGAGGTGTTATTAAAATTATTGTTACTCAATAATTAATATGGAAAGGCCTATAAGACTTGTACTCATTTTTTTCCTAAGGAATTTGTTTTTTACATACAATTTTTTGGGGAAAATACTGCGAAAATTCGTTAAGTTATGCTCGAAAGTGTGCGTTTTTTTGCCAAGATTATAGCTATAGATATACTGCACTGTTAAATCGACAATCTTTAAAACTAAATAGCTCGCAATTCATTAAGGAAACATCTGTTAAAATTTTGCACACGTGTAAATAACACTTTCATTTCACACATATTTCAATTTCAGCAAATTCTTACGAAAACTACTATACCCGGAGATCGTCCTTAAACCTTATCAAAATCAAGTAGAAGTAAAAAAGAAATGGATTTGTAAAGTCTTATACTTAAGGAGAAGCTGTTAAAAAAAAAGTACTGTACAAGTCTAATATTCTTCTACAACGTGCTCTCAATATTTTTCGAAAATCGATGTTTACAGGCCTTAGTACAGTAAAAAATAGTGTCACAGAGCTTAAAGTGCTTGCACACAATTTTTTCTTTATTGCTGAGGATGTGTAGAATAAGAAAAAAAAAAAATTTTTAAGTGTCTGCCTCAAAAAAATTTTTTAGTTTATTTTGTGATGCATAAGTACATATAAATTTGAATAGAATTTCCTTAAATGCATTAAAGTTAGTACTTACTTCTCTTTACTCATTTATCCTATAATGTTGAAATTATCAACCTTATGTATAAATTCTTTAACTACCTCCATATTTTGCAAACTATGTTTATGGTAAGAGTGTTTAGATTATTTCAGATGCATGCAGAGCACTATCGACAGTAACTGTACATGAGGAAATCCAATTTAAATTTGCCTGTACGCGTCCCAAAAAAAAATTAAATTTTTTTTCAAGGCACACCTTCGAAATGAATTTTTTCTCGTTCTATGTACCCTCAATAACAAGGGAAAAATTGTGTACATGAACTTTACCCTATCGCAAGGTGTCTACAGAAACCAATAGATTTTTTTGAATTCCTATTGGATTAAAATTTGTCCAATAGAAAATTTTATTGGTTTCTGTATGAAATTTACGTAGCTTGATATTTTTATCTGTTTTGTTACGGCAATGCTGGCAAAAAAATGGTGAGAAATACAAAAAAAAATTCTATGCAAAATATCTTATAAAATGAGTATGCGATTTTATATGATGTATCCATAAGCTCTTATAAGAACATCAACTATGTGTTCACATCTAGCAAACCGAATTCAAAACCTATACTTATCTATTATGTTAGACCAGAATGTAATTTAATTGTGTTCTATGATGTTATCTGAACAATATTATACGACACTTCTACATGAAAAGTTATGTTGATGAAAAAATGAACGTCATTCTATACTTACGCGATTTTATTTATAATAAACCGAGTGCAAAAGCCGTATGAAACATCATGAACTCTATTCTTTATTGTATCGCATTTAGCAGTTTAGGTACAGCCAATAAATAATTCTTGATTTGTAAAAACTATACACTTTCTCAGTTATGCAATTTTATTTGTGAGATAATACAAATTACACTTCTTACAAAATTTTTCCGTTGACGCTAGATTATGACTTATTTGTTGATGCTAATGTTATTTCCCAAGTAAAATTTTTACCATTGTAAAACAGACTTTTATTACATTTTATAATATTTTTCTGCTAAAATATATACATTTAAGTACTAGTTTTTCATTAGACTACCCATGTAGAATAACTTACAGTTTACATCTTAGAATACACACTATGTGTGACACTGTAAGGTTCATATATATATATATACNACTTGATACATCATATATATATACAATTGTATATATATATAACCAACAGTTTATGTCATTTAGATACATACGAGAATAGAAGAGTTTTTTTTTTTCGTTAAAACTTACTTATTTCTTCACTACATACAATTAATGTTACTTGTTAAATAACAGTTTTATTCGCCTTCATAAGATTTTTCCATATTGACGTTGTAATTCTTTATTGGCTCTGAGTAGATTTAACAAGTAAGACTTTTACGATAAACTCATAATGTTGTTGTTATAGTGTCTACAATATACATGTATTTACCCTAATGGAATGTTTCATTTTTTAGTACTACTTCTTTTAATCTCCGTTATAAGCTTTTTTAGGTTTTTAGCTTTTCTACAACTCATGAATTAGTTATATTGATACCTATTTTACTTTTACCCTTCTAAGACTTCTATTCTCTATGATACGATTTTTCCAATACAAAACTATACTTCATATTTGTATCTATTGTGTTCGGCAAGTAAAAAGTTAATAAAAATACGATTTCATTGAAGACAACGTTTAATTTCGTACCAAGTCTCTGTCATAACACTCATAACTCTTTACATATTCTTATGGTTTTTTTTACGATGAACTACAACTTTTTCATTAATTATTATCATTTGAGCCAAATAAATAAGTAATAGTTTATGTGATGTAGTTTGAGACTTTCACTAAATATTATACCCCTAGTTTTGCAGTCCAACAAAAATTAAAAAATAATTAATATTTTTTAGTCATCACTATTTGAACCCGATTTTTGACTACAACACAATAGAAGTTTAATTTTACTATGTTTAATTGGGAATTACACAGAAAAATTTTACTACTACTTATCAGGTTTTGCTGGAGAGAAACTTCAGGGGAAGATGTATTTCAAACTTTGATTGGTATTTATAAGGTTAACCACATTCTGCAAAATACTTATAGATTCTTTTTGTGCTCTATTTGGTTATTAAAAATCTGCATTTATCAGGAATTAATTTTTAATCATTCCTATTTGACTTTTTAAATAAAAATGGTTACGATTTCAAGGTATAAAAATGGAAAAGAGATGATACAGAATTTTTAAATAGAATAAAAATAGTAAAAAAAATTGACAACGTTTTTTTAAACATTTTTTTATTATAACATAGATTAATTTTTTCATAAAACCAATCATTAGCTTTAATACATTCACGTAACATAACATAAATTTTATTAAAACAATAAATACAAATAAACGTCGTAGTATTTTGTTGGAGATATTCGAATAAAAGCAAATAAAATTTTCAGTCTGAATGATATGATCTGTTGTAATTTAGAACTTTAAAAAAGTATTACGAAACTATAAAAACAGCTTATCATTTTTATTAGAAAAATCCTACATTCTTTACATTCTTGATAAAATGCCGTCGGAATTTTGGGACTAACTTATTTTTACGCTTTGAGCGAGCTAATAAATTTTTAAATTAACAATTTAACTGTGATGTCATTTTTGTAATAAACAAAAAGCTTGTGCACAGTTAAATATGCTTGTAATAGGTACTTAATACCAAATTTTCTATCATTTTTATCAATAAATGAAAAGACTATAAATTCATAAAAATTTATTTTCAAAACTGGAAATTTCTCGCTTTTTTGCAACTCTACATTGCAAAAAATTAATTTTTAAATAATCGAAAAAACCTTAATCGATAGAAAATTTTATCAAGAACAACTTTGCTTAAGTATTTTCTTCAATCAGACCAACAGAAAAGAAGTTATGAGCTAAAACATTCAAAAAATTCGATTAATTTTCACAACTTGTTAATTAACAATTAAAGTCGACGCTTTTGTTGGACAAAAATATTTTTTCCAATAATTAGACTGTATTTGTAAGCGATTAAAACGATTTTCTTCCAGGTGGCAGAAATTTTCTTATTCACCATTTTTTTGTTCTCTAACTACCGGACTACAAGGAAATAACTGTGATGTCTGATTAATGAATTATCAACGTAAATTACATTAATGTTTTTTTTTAACTCGAGTACAATGGAAGTTATTTGCATATTTTTCAGTTGAAAACTATATTATTTGCGTTACTCTCTTAATAATAGGGTTCTGTTGTGGAATAAGATTTAGTTTAATTATCAAGACAGATTTCTTACAAAACAGATACTTGATGTTGTACAGAATTAAAACGAGAAGCTGGTTTAATAAGGCAGTACAAGTTCTTGCGCACACAAAATTTTCCAAAAAAATTAATATAATTATCTTCTATGCCATGAAAAACCTTGTCACAAAGCTTAAAGTTCATGTACACAATTATTCCCTTGTTATTGAGGGTACATAGAACAAGAAAAAATTTATTCTAAAGGTGTGCCTTGTAAAAAAATTAAATTTTTTTTTGGGACGCATAAAGGAAAATTTGGATTAAATTTCCTCATATATATAAGCACCTTAAGTAGAAAAAATACTTTGTGAGAGCTGTATAGTACGTGAATAAGCACGTCTTTTTTATGCAAATCAGGATGAGAATGCAAACTTACCATTAGGGTAGAATTTAAAAAATTCTTTAGTATCTTAACTTAAAATAGAAAAAATCATTTTTTAAACTTATCCATTAATCTTCAGAAACCCAGCTTTTTGTTTTTTGAAGATTAACTTATCATTTTTATTATTTTAGAATTACCTATTAAAGCGAAAACTTACCAGCATGAACCGCTGGATGTAAAGTTTTTACTCTGCCACCAAGCATTTCACTAGCGCCTGTAATACTTGATACATCTTTGACAAAAAGGCCATTATCTTTCAAAGCACTAGCAGTTCCTCCAGATGCTATCAAAGTAAATCCTAATTCATGAAGCTTTCGAGCAAAGGGAAGTAGATTTTTTTTATCCGATACGCTGAGCAATGCTATAAATATAAAACAAACGGTTTTATAACTATTGTTATACTAATAATCATTCTTATCATTATCAAAGTTGAAATAAAATTTATTGAGCTTCAATAAAGCAGGACTTTTATAACATAACAATCAATAAATTACATAATATTTTTAGTGTGGATGAAAAAGTATCGCTATTATAAAAAAAATGGCATGCTAAATATTCATCTGTCAAAAATGTTGTATTCTTTATAAACTTTTTTGTGCAAATAGTTAACTCTCGTATTTAAACTATGTTGTATGGTTTTGTTTATAGTATAAAAACAACCGCATTATATATCATTGCAATATTTGATTGTACTTATCGTTAAGAAGTTAACAAAACTCGTACGTTACTCATAAAACTGTTACCAAAAGTACTAACTTGGGTTATCATTTGGTTGAAGACAAAAAATATGTAATTTTTAATTGTAAATTTACAAAAAAGAGGGCTTTTGTTATGTCAGTACAGTGGAGCTTAGGGTGTGAAAGAAATAAATACCTGCAAGTTCAAATAACTTCATCTTCTATTCGTGTTTACATGAAAAAAAAGACGTTTATGAGATGTTGATTTTAGAAGACCAACTGAGAGAGAGAGTAGCCACAGTTACTCATCACTATTCAAGTGGCTAACTAACTATGTTCCCATTGCTCATACACTGTAACCACTCACGTAGGTATAAAAACTTACAAAGGCTTTATTTATCGTACGTCACTCATCTGGAGCTATGTGGTCATTATCCCCAATGGCTGTACCTATTTGTGTGTCCACGTGCATGTGTATGTATATTTATGTATGTTATGATATTTATGCATTGTAAATTACTAAAGGTTTTTTATATAAAATTTAGTTTTGTTTACTGTGCTCCATCCACTATCATTTTTTTAAACCATTGCTCCTTTTACTGATACAAAACGTATATTTTTGTAAGCTGATCTTAATAATGTTTGGCTATTAACATGTGCTGACGTTTTGGTTATCAAATCATAAAAATCAATTCAAAATCATTGAAATAGTTTACTTGGTCTACCTGTTACATTAAGCACCTATTTTCTATTCATCCCAACAAATGTTTTCCATTAGCACGACTCACGATTTAACATAAACGACTTTCTTGCTCTAGTATTATGCTAAGCTTATCGAGTGATTCTGACGGAAGTAGAGATGGACTTCGTTTATCTATAACTTTTCTAACTCTTCAATAAAAATCCGATCCATCGCTTATCTCGTAGTCAGTTTTATTCTTTTTCGTTATTTCTTTCAAAATTTTTTGTTTTAATTTCTCTCTCGTATTTTACAAGCAGTTAAATTTATGAATACTTTGTGCGTATGACGTACGATCAATTTACGAGGTACTAGATCAGAAAGCGTATTTAAATAACAGAAGATTTGATTTTAATATTATTCACTCTTTCTAGTTACACTTTACGACTGACTACTTTTATCTCCTTCTACCGAGCATTTATTTAATAGGTAATAAAAAAACTCTGATCTAACCATGTTTAGTGGGTCGATCTGCCTTCGTCTTTTTTTTTTTTCTGAAGTTTTGCTTGTTACGCTGTGATTTTGTAAGAGATACTCGTTTTTGACCCCCTTTATCCATGTCCTCTCTTATTACATGTGTCCTTATTTTTCGTTACTCGGCCGCTGTGTTAAGATTCTCTATCTTTTTTATTGCAGTCTATATATTTCCTTATTTTACTTTAAAAGTTTTTTCTCCCTACATTTTTCAACTTGTGTTCTTGATTTTTTCGTCAGATGACTCATGATTCATGATCCCCTCTTCTCTTTCTTGTTCATCTACCATTTGATATAGTTCTGCACTTGGCAGCTTTAGGCTCCTTTTCTCGTCCTTTATAATTAAATTCCTCAAGAGTGCACGAAATCGTACGCCAGCAACTCTGCTTTCAGTCCAGTGAAGGTGAATATCCGGTTTTTTGGATGAGTGAGAATGCTTCAATGGCTGTATATGAGGCGTAAGCTGCTCCTTTGCAAACATCATTGCTAGCAGCTTCTATCATTATTTAGGTATCTTAATTGACTACCTTCATAGCATCGTAATTCGTGTTCATATGAATTGTCTTTACCTGACTCTCCCTTACTAAGAACTTCGCCGATAGCGTAATTCAATGTGGCAGGCGTCACAATAAAATATGTATTTATGTTAAGTGCTGCCAACAGGGATTTTAAAAATAGAGTGTCAACGGATGTTTCAAAGGCCTCCTTTTCTCCTTCACTCACTTAAATTCGAAAGCTTTTTTAGATTTTGGTTGTGCCTTTCTTGTGTAATTTCTTGTAAAATTCCTATCATATCTGGCAAATCAAAGAAAGTGTTGTACTTTCTTTTTCATTTATCAGACTTGGGTATTCTCTGGACATTTGAATTTTATCCATCTTTATCTTTCCAATTTCAGCCAAATGATCAACAAATTTCCGCTCTTTTTCCAGAACTGGTATTTCCATACCTGAAATTGCTATTATCTCTCTCAATTTCTTGATGAATTTTCTGTGCTCTTTGAGGGTTATCGTGAATACCATGATACATGATTTATAATATCGCAATATCCTGCCCTCATAGATCAGTCAAAGCTTATGTTATAGCTCTCAAAAAACTATTTCATGATTATAAGCACTCCATTGGCGTACGTTTATACTAAAAGCAACTGTCGAGTTCCGAGTTTGTTAATACCATTGTTATTTCGTTCAGCTCCTTGAAATCCATTACTAGTCAATAAGTCTTCTTATCATTTTATCCTGAAGGCGTAGGCATCATCCATTCCTGGATGTTTGTTTTCATTTTTATTTTACCGCAAGTAGGTATTGATATCTTTTGACTACAACTGGTTTATTAACAGCACTTAATTTGATGGATAACGTTTATCATGACGTTCGTCTTACGTTCCAAGTGTATTGATCCAGTTATTTTTTTTTTTTTTTTTTTTTTTTTTTTACAATTTTATCTTATAACGTAGTTTGCCACACAATTTACTCTTAACCGCAAGATATTAGCCTCTACATCTGCGTAGGAAGCCAATTTTTTCTCTTAAAAATCAGCTATTTATAATGTACTGGGCAGTGGTTTGCATCCAGATGAGATATGCTAAGTAAACAAAACAGAGTATGAGAATAACAGGATATGGAACTTAAAGTGACGAATTATTGTAATATCGATTTTTTTTAAATCGAATAAAATAGCAAGCTTTCGAAAAAAACCTGTGATTCGTCCTATCAGAAAACCGTAGCATTTATACAGATGGTTGCCTAGTTCTTCCTAGCGTTGTTTTGATAAAGTGAGATTTTCCGGTTTTTTTCTCATCTTCTTTTTGTTCTAGCAGAGTACGCAACAAAATTAAGCTATGCAAACTGCTTTTTTTAGGTATGTGCACTGATCTCATCTGTTTACTAATTATTTATTCATTAATTATTCTTATAGTGCCATAATGGTACATTAAGTTTAAGACATTAAATAATGTACCGTGATGCTCTAATCTAATACATTTGTATTGGAAATAAATCATTTTAAACACAATTTTATTTAATTAAAATATGTATAATGTTTAAGTCAAATATATATTTTACGTACAAAAGCATGTTATTTTAGATTTTTTAAATTAAGTATTTTGAGTACTTCTTTTCAGACATTAGATTTAATATTTTTTGTATCTGAATACAAACGTTTTTGAAATACAATTGTATTTAATTTTTTTAATCTAAATAAAATATATTTGATATTGTATGGTCAATAATTCAAACGCAAATCTATTTTAAAAGTTTAAGTGGTTTAAAAACTTTTATTCAAACAAAATACTTATAAAATTGGTTATTTTAGCTGCTGTTGTTAGAGATAGCAATAACCAACGTAATTTATTTAGATATTCTACTCCTATAAGACAACTAAATGTTCACATAACCTTAGATTAATCAAGGAAAGTATCTCAGAGTATTTCAACTTCATTAGGTACTACCCCCCTCTGTCTGTTGTCCCATTAATATGCAAGTTATTAGCACAATAAAGAGATCTTTCGTTTCCTTCTTTTCTGTCAACTTTTAATTCATCTTCTTGTCTTTTTTTTTTTTTTTTATTTATTTCTTTATTTTTTTTTGTTATTTTCAATTTATATCAACCAGCTCACATGCTACGTTCTTGTGAAAAGGGCCGCTCTTGTCTTTTCTCGGCTACTTCACCCCAGCAACTGGCTTTGTGAAACCATACATATACCTGGCCATCTCCAGTCTCTCCAAGACAATCCTTTTACCAAGAATAGTTAAGTTAACCCTTTTTCAAAGTTTCTATGGTATCTACCATAATGATAATCGCATTTCAATAGTATGTTCCGTAAGCCAGATTATTATTCATATTTTAATAACAGAGTCTATTTCTACTATGATTTTCATTTATGTAGCCCCTATTTTCATTATTTATTAGCCCATTAGAGTATATTTTCAATTAATTGTGAGATGGCTTCTTTGCAATCACCTTCCTTTTCTGAATGCTTGTTTTTTATGTTGTACCACAATTAGTCTCTAGACTTACTTTTCCACCTAATATTTCTGTCAACATTAGGCTGCAGTGGTTACATACTCCTCATATACATGAATTTTAATGCTAAGGCAATGGTTTTGGTTAGCATTGCTGGCTTGTATTGAAAAACTTTGTGATTATAAGAGGGCTTGAGACTTAATTTACATAGTCTTCTTCTATTTTATATTACTTTTTAATTCACATCATAATGACTCTCAAATTTATGGGTGCACGTCTTGTAACCTTATTCTCTCATAGCATAATCTCTGTACTTTAACAACAGTTGAGTCAGTGCATAAGCATTCAATCAATTAAGAGCTAATGTAGAAGCAGAAACAAAAGCTCTTTAATGCTTGCTGGTATCTTAAGCAATGTTTCATTGGTCTTAACGCCAATCATATGAGGCCTCACTTTATTAACAGAAATATAAAAAATTTAGATAAATTATAATGCAGAGCTACTGACATATAAATACTTTAACATTAAAACGTTAATAGAACGTTTTAATGTTATAATAAACGTTAATGTAACGTTAACATACGCATAAATCAAGTCATAAATATGGAAGATTAAATTAAATTAAAAATCATGATCACAATAAATTAAAAATATAACAATTATAGACAAAAAGTCAAATATAAGTTGGAAGTAGTGTAATAATTTTATAAATTACTCACGTCTGTATAGTTACGATGATCGTTACAGACTGTTGGTAAACTTGAAAGAATATTGTAAGTACAATACGTACACATAGCTACATATCAGTCACAAATGTATACCTATCATGAATACAGAAAACACATATATATATCCGTGATGGAGGGTTAAAAGAGATCGCTCACAAGAGCTTTGTGTATATTATTAAGAAATAGTGTGTCTTCCTTAATATTATTGTATGTGTGGTAAGACTTACGTGTGGTATTTTGGATAATAATCTTTTTTGGCTTTTCGAGTCATGATCTAAAATTTTAGCTCAAGAAAAATTGAAATTGTGATTAAATTTGTTTATGTGCAAGTAAATGACAACCTCATCTTTCTTCGTATTTTTGTGTTTATAGGGAGGTTTTTTATTGCTTTCTTTGCCTTGCCCATACATGATGTGGGGCAAGAATTGCTAGCAAAATAGTGTACATCATTGGTTTGATCAAGCCTATTAGGTTATTCTTACTTAAAATTGTAAGATTACTTGATTTTTTATAATAATCGAAAAAATTATTCATTGAATTTTTTAAAAGATTTCGAGTAAAATGTAGAAAATAAAATGTTATAAGAAATGAAAATATTTGTTCTAGTACGATGGCTGTCAATTATCAAATTTTAATGTTATTAGTCATCGCTATAATCTAACATGTTGTACACAGTCGACGTATATACCTGATGAGGGTCAGGATATTGTATTTTAACGACCAAAACTTCAGCTTTTGTTTTAATAAAGAAATGTGACTGTACTACTATTCGATGCCATTTTTACCACTTAAAAATAAAGTTGGTAGGTATTTCCAGGTTTTTCATTTGTTTTATAAGTTCAAAGTTAATATTTCAATGTGTAAATCATTTTTCAAACACTTTAAAAAGAGAATTATAAAAGAATGAAGCAAGTGTGTGAAGGAGAGTTAATCGATAAAATGATTAGTCTAAATGAAAGTGACGGTTTGTGTATGATTTGCAATCCATAACATCTAGCTGAAGTGTTATTGGTTTGTGTTAATTAATTGCTATCATATTTATATCTCAAAAATTTGTTGTCATCGAGTTCCGTAAAAGTTTTGTGGACTTCTGATTGCAATTTACTAAGAGGATTCTCATTTCCCATTATATTTGTACTTATTATTAATATTTTTATTAATATTTATTATTATTTATACTTTTAATTAGTAATATTCAAACATTTAATTTAATCCAGTACTAATTTTTTATTGTTACACATTTTCATAGCTTGTGCGATTTTTGCCCTAATTTATTTTTGGTTGCACTATCAATGTCGCTATTTTTTTGCAAACTGTATTCTATATTCTTAACTGTTTGAACAATTTTATCCTTTTACTGAGACTGTTTTGAGCTGAAATTTTGATGCTGAAGCTACTTAATTGTGAAAGTTTTCCTGTATACGCAAATCTGTTAGGTTGTTACATAATTTTTTTATTTTTGTTGTAATGATTACAGAAGTTATGGCGTAAAGATTTTTTTTTAAATCTAAATTTTTTCTCATGTGTAAGATTCATTCTTCGTTATATAATTCCATTGATATGATATATACACTTTTTAAAACATTAAACTAATATATTATCAGGATACACAGTATTGAGTTTTTACCCCATGTAATAAATTTTTTTTTAAAAGCAGCAATATGTGCATAACAATGATTTATTACAGTTATAAATCTTAAAACTCAGAAAGAACTGTGAATTAGTATGTTAAGCCAATGTCATATACAATAGATTAATTTACTTTTATTTGAACTATCCCGTATCTTTAAAAGTAAATATGGTATACAATTTGGTTGATTGAGCTATCCTTTTGTCTAATAAATCCTTCAACATCAAAAATATTTTGATAGCTAAAATAATCTTACTTGATGATGACCACACACAGTTTTTTATATGAAAACGTATTAGAAAAAAACTTCAGAAAATAAAAAATAATAACATTATTAACAAAAAAAACTTAATGATTGACAATCAACGTACTATCTTACTTACACATAAAGTTAAGTCGCTAAAACCGTTGTAATCGCTAACCATGATGAGTACTGAAGCAATTTTTCTAAAATTTGTCATACTGATTCTTCATAATTCTTAGATGGTTTTTACATAGTTTTTTTCTTGAAAAAGGTAATAAGAATAGCGATAAACAAGCTCAAAGTTTTAATAAAATAAGCAAGCTTTGCGCTTCAGTTCAGTGGGATCCGCTAGGTGGCATTGAAGTAAAATTGAAGCCACCTGCAATCAAAGATAATGAAGAGTGATTATGAGAAGCCCCATTGAGGTGTGGATTGTCATAGTCGGTCATTAGCAGT